GTACATTATTTTATTTCAAGATGTCTGTTAAGAACGCATTTGATTCAGAAAAATCTCTCTCTTGAATACTGTAGGGGTAGGAAGACCCCGAAAAAATGTTAACTTTTGCAATTTCCGAAAAATCAGTGATTTCAACAAAAATGAGGCCTTATGAATTTTTACGCTATCCGAGGATAAAGTGTAATGAAAAAATTTGGTGCCATTTTTGAGAAAATTTGAGGTCCGTTAATTCCCCTTCTTTCCCCGTTTTTCATCCATCTTCTCATACCATAATCTAATGGCCCCTCCCTACTAGCCATATGTATCCCCTCTCAAATGTTCTGTCTAAAAGTCTGACTAAACCACAGACGGCTGCGCTATCGTGATACCAGATATCGTGATACCAGGCCTTCTAGATAACTGTATGGCTATGAATAAAAGCTTTAGTGGTAATTTATCATTATTCAATTACGGCTTCTTCAAACTTGACCGCAATGCGTATAATGTTTATTTAAAACATATAATGTGAGTCTTGTTTACCTTGTTCTGATTACCTACCCATATCATAATCGAACTTTACGTATTTCTTTGTATATCGTACGTATCTAAGGACTTTTATTTTCACATGAAGGTGAGGTACAATACACCTCGAAACGTTGCAATTACATAGCACCCTTGGAATTTTTATATGTAACAATTGTGCAGCGAACATCTTTTTATAAAACATTAAATAAATTAGGCATTTAAATGTACATCAAGTGATTTACAATATCCTGTATCCATGTCCGTGCAATATATTGGCCAATTAGCTCCCAATAAACAGCAAAAACGGTATATAATGTATGGGTATGAATCTGTGCACGTTTTGTGGAGCTCCAGAATTCCCAACCTACACTTTTACTGTCCATAGTGAAATGATGAATAAAGGAACTAACAAAGCGTGGATAACAACACTAAATATCGACACTAACTAGAAGGCAAGGAATAATTCAGCTACTTTCTTGAGGAAAATTCAATTGGCCGGCTGTACTAATCGGAAGTTTTCCGTGGTTTCTCCGTTCATTACCAGGCGAAAACCGGAGCGACGAACGAACGAACTACAAATAGAATATTGTATTGGATTGCATTGCTAACAAAATAACTACCCAAACTCCGATCCTACTGGTACTACAACTATTGTCCGAATTAAATATAGTGCTGTGTGACAGTTGTGACGCTGTTACCCAATCAGGAGCTTCAAAATCAAAAAATTAATTCCTAACGAAGTTCCTGATTGCATAAGCTTGTCCAGCTGATGATGCACCACAAATTACTATATTTAAATTGACCAACAGCAAAAGGAGTGCTCAACAAAACGTGCGTTTTGTAATGCTTCCTTTACATCCAGAGACTAAAAAAGGCGTCATAGGTATTTGCTCAATGCATCAAGGGAAACTGAATGAAATACTTATCGAGATGGGGTCATTGTTCTTCAAACTGTTATATGGTTCAATAAAACCATATTTACTTCATTCGAATTAAACAACATAAATGGTAATTAATGCGTTTCTCCTTTTATGAAATATTGTGAAGTAAATATCTTCCTGTTTCGTGGTTAGTAGTGTCTCCGACAGTAAAGAAACGGTTATGGAGCAGAAAATATTTTACTTGGCACTTACTTTTCTTTAAATTTTGGTATTCATTTTAATTCACTCATTCACCTTTCGTAAAGTATATTCTTCATGATCGGTATTGTCAATATTACATTCCTTTTAGGTTCGTGTCCAACCCGTTAGCGTCTACAAACCGGCAGCCCGCACGCTCTACCGACTGATGGCAGAGTTGCCAGTAGTTAAACGGCAACGCTACCGCGGCCTTGAGCTGCTCAGGTCGCTGTGTGGATTACAATTCACTCGTCGCAATGGAATGTGCGTAGAAAAACTAAATATTTTATGTGTATTTTATGGGGAAATTTTGTTTCTGTATTATCAGCACAAGAGTCAAATTAAATCAATAGACAGGCGATTTTGATTATTTATCCCTGTATTAATACGATTTCGTTATTAATACGATTTTACGTCAAACAGTGCTTATATTAGTGTAATGGCAAAATAGCGTTCGTTCGATAATTGACAAAATAGACTTTTCTATTGGACTTATAACTACTACACCGTCTCCTTGATCTGTTTATCGGCGTCTTGCAGTTATGGATATCATCCAGGGGTACTTGGAGTATCACGAAGCGTACAAAATTTCAACAGCAGCTTCGTAAAGTTGCCAGATCGTAATATGTATCTACCATCTCACTCTTCCAGGAGATTAAAGAACCGGGAGTCAAGTTTGCGCGTGAAATGTTGCTGAGATTTTAGGTGATTTTTTTGCTTAGTGATGCCTTTGTGAGAACATTGTGCGATGAACAGTCTCCTTCTATATCGTTTCTGTTCTGCTTCGTTTTTGTTTTTTTTATTTGCGATTTTGTCCCATGGGGTTAGCTGTCATAAGTAAGGGACACATTTTGATAACCTAAAACAGTGCCAAAAATTATCAAGAAAATGCTCTTAAAATATTTCAAATATTACCTAAAACCAAAGAAAAAATGACGTAAAAAGTTTCAAAACCAGTTCGCGTAAAAAACACAAATATGTTACTGATGTAATCGAGTCTTCTGTTATTTTTTCAAGTGCACTCAGCTTGCAAACGTTTGGTTTGGACCAGAAAATCTGTCTTTAGTTATCCCGAAATCGCGACCGGCTGCCCTGATCGGTAGTTTTCGTCGGTAGTTCTTCGTTTTTTTCGGTCAATTCCAGGCGAATGTCGGCGCAGTAAAAAAACTGTCCTAAAAAACGGTCCGCTTACACTCACACACTTAAATGTATTACACTACCATACCACGAGAGACCAGTCGGGAACCAAGTGTTTGTCCCGGTTAGGGCAGTGCTCCGCTGAGGAGACACCTGAAGAGGGGAAATCCCCATCAAGCCCACGTGTATGTCGGCGCTGGAACGTATCATCCAGCGGTGGAGAAGCACCACCCCAGCAATAAAACATTCACTGTGTTAATAGAATTAATGACAATTAGTAGTTGACCTGCGTGGAAATATTGTAACGTATTAGCCAGCGTGCCTCGTGGCATCTATTTGGGGACGCTTGGCAGGATTAGTCTCGCCACAGGAAGTAGGGTTTTTCCGTAAAGGGAAGAACGCGGAGACGGGAGACACAAGGCTTTGGGTGTCTTCCGGCTTATAGAAGCTTTTCACTGTTATAACAAGCGAGGGGGTGGCGTGACGTAGGAGGTCACGTGGGCCTCGCCTATATAACAGAGTGTACGGAGCCAGTAGGCAGGTTCTGGAGACTCGTGCGTGTGCACAAAACTTGGCGCCAAGACGGTGCATATGCGAGCCAGGCTCGCGAGGCTGGAGTCATTAGTTGACGAAGCCTGCGGACTGTATGTCCTTGGGTGACTGCGGTCACGGGGGAGCGATGCTGTGTGCGTGCTCCGAGGTGAAGAGTGGTTGAGTGCCACGATTCACGCCGATTCTCAATCGGATAAGATCGCTCCTGCGATCGAGGCAAACCAGCCGTTGGTGCGCCAGAACGGACTTTGTGTCCCAGCGTGACATCCGGTCACGGAAGCTAGGCTTTGTGCGCGCTTCAAAAGTAAGAGTGGCGAATGCCACAATCAAAACCATCTTCAATCGGGTTTCGGATCGCTCCCGCGATCAGGGTATAGTAGGTCTATCAGAGCTAGGGTGTAAGTAGATTATTAAGTGTATATATTTGTTTTGTTTTCTTGTTAATAAATATATTTGTTATACGAAAGCTCTGTGTCTGTGGTCGCTGTGAGTATCCATGACGTCACAATATCAATCAATCACATACAGCCAGTGAATTTTCAAGGAATTACTTAAATTTCCTTTTTGAGGATTGTTGTAGGTTATTATTTCCTATAATACTTCTGACATGCTATACACTCACCAATGGGAGACTTTTCCAGGTTCAAATTTGTGTGTGTGTTTTCCTTTTTGCAATCCAATTAGAATTTATTGAAGTCCAAAACGCGGAAATGTGAAAATGCCTATCCTGTAGGAAGATTAATGTAGTAACAGAATGAATGGTCATTGATTTATCATCATGCGAGAGTCCTGTGGCTTTCGCCGCATCCCAGGTTCCTCTCCGTCATTGCTCTGTCAATTAGCCGAATCTCAGTTGCCCGCGGTCTTCCTCTCTTTCTCCGTCTAAATGGCTGATAAAGAAAATTATTTTTCGGTGTCCTTCCCTCTCCCATTCTAGTGATATGGCCAAACCACTTAAACTGTTTGCCTTAAATATGGTGGAAAATAGTGTCTGTCTGGGCAGTTCTTTCTATTATTTCTTCATTGGTGATACGTTAGGATACCCTGGAGACGCTAGTCTAATATTCCACTCTGAATGTTGTGTAACGAAGGTCTTGAACATGTTTGTTCTTGTTTTCCATCGAATTTTTGATGACCAAAGCAATGGATTTAGTACTTGCATAGTGAATCTAGATTTATAGGGTGACATGTCTCCTTCACATAATCCTTCCTGATTGATGATACTTCTATGATACACATTTTTTTTACATTTTTTAATTACAACACTCGGTGATACCTGGAAAACTATCCCCTATTTTCCTATAGGTAGGTATTGCCCTGGCCTTGGTTCAACAAAGTTCTTACTAACTTCACTATGATTTCGTGAAACAAAACTTCTAAACCCTTTCAGGGTAACAATTGTATTATTAATAACTTTCTATTAAAAATTGAAGTTCTTTCATACATCATACATGGACAGCAGTAATAGAAGGCTGTTCTGTTTTTTTTATAATATGCTATGAACTCATTCTTACCTGGAATGAAACAAAGTTCCCTCTTTTTACTAATGCTTTCAATTACAGAAATAAAATTGTATTCCATTTGTAAATCATTAAACATCTGTATTACATTAATACTATCTTCTTAAGTCTTATCCTAGATAAAAGTTTCTCCTACAAAGATGCTATAAGTGTACTATTGCTGTATAGTATGTCTATCCTCAAGAAAGATATAAAATCTATGCTCCCTTTTAATAAGGTAAGATAGATTTCATATCTTTCTTCTTGAGATCAGATATATTATTTCTGATGTCTTTTTTTCTTCTTTTTGCTTTACTTCAAACACACTCAGATGGCCAGATGGTTTGTTGAGAGAAGTCCTTCGTTTTATCTCATTGTTTTTAATGCATACAAAATGCTCGGGAACTTGTGAGTGATGTAACTCACTTTAAGCAAAATCTGACCAAAGGGTATAGCCGGATAAGGGGGTGAAAAGCGCACCCAAACCCAATCGATAATCGCGAAACTCATATGAAAGAGAACAAAAAGTGTCGTGTTACAGAGATACAATGAGAAACGGGTTTGTCAAGTTTTATTTTTGTCTCAGATTCTATTGCTGAAAAAATATTGGAGAGAAGGAGAAAAATAGTTGAATTTTAAGATATTTTTGTCAATCGATTTTGACGTCAATTTCAAATAGAAAAAACAAATAAATATTTTCAATTTAATTTTGATGAGGACGATAGTGAACAATGAATAAAACCAATTTTATCAGTAAAAAAATTGTTATTCGTTCCAAAATGTGATTGGAAAAATAATTTTCACTAATGTTCAAATAATTTATATTTAAATTACGTTGTCAGGTAAATCACAGCTGTAGCAAAACAAATTTCTTTTGGGGTCACATAGACCTAATGTTGCAGCAGGGTTGAAGGAATAATGATAAAGCGAATAAAGAAGTTCTAATGAGAATGAAACTATGTGTATGAAAGATTTTTTTATAATGCAAGAGATCTCCTCAATTTCATAATTGAAGATGTCATCCACTAGCCATGTTAATGTTACTTTCACACTGCTGACCAGCAAATAAAATGAAGATCTTTTAGAACAGTACAACACCCATAAATGTGTTAATTTAGGTAATAGTGTATTTTAAAGGCTAGTGTTATCACCACTGTGAAATGTTTTAAAAAATACGCATTAAATGATTGATGTCGGAAATTCGATTCTGCTATTCCTGTGGGTGTTCTTTGTATTCTGTGAAGTAATATTCTGATCATTTACAATTTTAGGAATGTTGTGTAAACTACAACAGAAAATAATTAAAGATTGCATCTTCTTGAATACTAGGCGAATCCTAATTTGTGAAATTAGAAAATGGCCAAAGCACTTTTCTATATTTAAAGATTAAGCAACAATGAGCTGACACGCAGAGCCGCGAGGACGCGTCCTGGAGCGTGCAAAGTGGCAGTGAGCACGATCTGTTGGACGCCCATAGAACTAACAGATGTCTGCACAGGACTGCCTGAAAACTCGCGTCCATTTCTAGGCAACAAGTGTCTGTACCATTTGGTCTTTTAAAAACGACCCAAAGGATAAAATCCTGTAATTACCAGTTTCGTTTTGTTTGTATACTTCCACTAAAAAAAGGATAATTACAAGAAAGAAAGAACTGTGCATCTCTGACCGGGGAGACCCTAAGGTTCGAGTCTCGACCGTGGCCTATTATGGACATTATCTCTAGGTTGAATTCAGCTGCTATCTGAACGAGACGTCTAGTGGCTGGCTGCAATCAATATCATATCGAATACGGGATCTCTATCTTGCACTTCTCCCCCTAGAATGTCACACGGTTTTCAAAATGTTTTCCTGTTAAATAAATAGATAGATACTTTATCAAACCGTTCACAGACTTCGCGCAATCTTTCCTTCCTCGTCTTTGTCCCGTGCTCTTCTCTTACACACACAGTGTGTAATACCAATCATATTTCAGAGATTTATTGTTCGTTTCTTAGATCCTTGTGTCTTGACTGCCGTGTCTGTTCTCATACACAAGATTTCTAAACTGTCCATTTTTTGTATCACTAGGTTAATTCTTTTTAGTACAGATCCAATTAGGAAAACATTTCGCTAAACGTTTGGATTTAACGTTCTAATTTACATGATTTATATTCGAAATAGCAACCTACAGCCCCGCGCACTCATACCACAACAAAAAGAGAGCTTAACGAAAATTACACAATAAAGCTACATTGTGCAGTTATGTTTTTTGAACCGCTACCCCGTCTTGTTTTGCAATTATGAAGTGCGCCACCTCAGATGTGGTATTTTATTAATCTGGCAGATAGCGTTCTCTTAACGCGGACAGTAGTAAATCCTCCTTTTGCCACCAGAGCGTCTCAGTAGCTGGGCTGTCAAGCACCGACTTGGTCGTGCTTGGTGTGCTCCCTCCCCCTCTTTATCCTCCTCTTTCGCCTCCTCCTTCGTCAACACAGTTCTTTTGTATCTGACTATCTGATGCGGGTCTACTTTAAAATAAACGGCCATTCTACACAACAAATACAAGGAAAATCCCTGCACAATCGTGCAATACCTGTTATTGGGTAGTTTGGAAAGATTATGTATGATGTGAGCGATTCCGGATAGTATATCAATATTATAGTGCATCCCTATTGAAACGAGAATTAGGAACATAAAGTATTTGCGTTGAAGAGAGACGCGGTCATTAAAAATAGCCGGTGTTGCTAGCTGAATTGCTCAACCAAGTCCGTGAATTCACGGCGCACAGCTCCTGGCCGAAGAGATAAACTGGTGGAGCTAAATTAGCACGTACTTTATCGCCCGTACGTTCACAAAAAATTGAGCGAAAAGTACTCACATTTTCGAAAAACTCTACATGACAAACTCTACATTTCAAAATCTCTCTTCAAGGAACAGATTTCAATGAGGGGAAAATCTCTATCTTCATAATTGTAGATACAGGAAAACGCCAAATATTTTTTGAATGTTAGCAATTTTCGAAAGATCAGATTTTTTTCGAAAATGAGACCTGCATCATTCTCTTAAATGTCCTTCACACTATTAACAACAAAACTGAATAAAAACCGTTTGAGCCATTTTTTTGAAAATGTTGAAAATGTCCCAAGGGCTTCATGTAAAGTACACTCAAAATTAAAATATCGGTTTCAAATTCAAGAGGCCTATCAATTATTTCGATTGGGGAATATCAATTTTGGAGAAAATCGGCTGAACGGCAGACAGAGACGGACGGACAGGCGTTTTGCTGTCATTCCATTTTTCGGTATCAAGGACCCACCAAACATGGATTTTGACTACACCACGTGTTAGAGGTTTTTTTCTAAATTTAGCAACTGGATTTATCCAGTTTCTCGTTAATATCTCGCTATAAGAGTTTTATTGGCGAAAATCCGGCGTAGCGTGGGTGTCAGCCGCTCGGGACGAGGTCAATTATTTAAGTAATTACAATTAAAAAACTAAAATATACAGTAATTCCAAAGAGTTTTTCGGCAAAAAACGATCATCATTATTGTGTATTGTACAGGTTACAAATATAAAAGCATGTATGTATGATTTACAATATAATAATTACATTTATGTACGTCCTATTCATATTTATTTTATCACATTCATATTTTATTATTAGTCTCGTGAACAAAAGTATCGTAGAACGTTTCAAAGTAATCACTTATAATTTAAATAATATAACCCACTTTACTGAAATTTATTTCTAATTTTTTTTTATTTTAATAAATTAAAGCTTGAACAACGTCGCATATAGTCAAACATACAATAACGTAAATAAAAAACCTAAATAAAAAAAATAATACTCACATAGTCGAAAGTATATGTTCACGAACAATACATTTTTTTTAAATCAATAAATTAACAACCACTACATGTACTATGAGCAGTAAAATCACAGTTTGGAAAACGCATACATATATAAGAAGATTACGTTAAGATATATTAAACTTTCTTTGAATTGTCAAAGCATCACTCGCGGACTTCCTTGAAGGGATTTATCCGCACTATAATTTGCAGGTTTAACTACACAATATTGAGCATTATTCTTTGTATGACAGAAAACATTCAAGCTTAATATTAGTGATAAACACTCCAACCACAAAATAAAATACGGGGAATCACTACAGTACAGACGGTGACGCCAGTCGCTACATTGAGCAAGATGTTATTATATATTGATTTAAAGAACTCGCCACCAAATAAGTAATGAAAGATTCCATGCTACACATTACCCATCTACCCATTACTCAGACTTCCGATCCCTGTCCTCGTGCGAGGGAGAGGACTTTATTAAACTGGAGCACAAATCCAAGAAAGAAGACCCCAATTCGAAGAGACCCCTCAAGGGGTCAGGCGAACAAGAAGAAAACATCTGCATCGATCGTTCGTAGGTTCGACAAAAATATGAAATGAAATGGTTCAAATTTTTACAATATATTATTATTATTATCATTATTATCATTATTATTATTATTATTATTGTTATTACTGTTATTTATTGTGAAATTTTGCTGATTTCTAAGTGTACTGCCCGGGGCGAGTCGCCTCTACAACCCCCAATACGCAACGCCACTGATTTATAGTAAACATAATTATTCGCCAATATTGGACTATAGTATTACAACAGTAGCTGTAGCTATCAACTGGAGACATGTAAGTAGCGGAACTAGCTACTAGATACTTTTAGATCGAACTCGGATGGTAGCATACAGGAACATCAGTAATAAATTTTCTTCTCGCTTCCAATGGGCCAGTTTAATTCTAGTTTCATTAAATTTTAAAATATTGCTTTCGATTTTGTTTTCGAATCACTTATCACTAAGTCTAATAGTACCGACAATGAAGATAAAATCTGAGGTATTAGAGGTTAATATCAAATCCATTAAAAACAGCCCAAACATTTCTGGCTTTAAACTCAACCTCAGTATTTAGAAATGTTCCTTTTTACATAATATTCGGCACATCCCTCCTTAACTGAACTGAATCGTCAAGGAAAAGAAGGCAGAAATATAAGTGAATATTTAGAGCAATAACGAGAATTTTGTTTAAAATAGACGGGAAAGTGAAGTAAACTTTTATTTTAAAATGGTCCAATCGACGCATTCACGTAAGCACTCTGTCTACATTTTTATCCCTTTCAGTTCCTTAAAAAGTACGGTATGTTCGGAAATGTATATAATAAACGTACATAAGAGGTGACATCAAAAGTTCCTGCAGAGGTTATCGCATCTTGTCAGGTGACCTCTAATTACGTAACAGGCAAACCGACTTTCGTTCGCTGCCGGAAATACACTCGATACCATCACGCCAAGGAAATTCACACACAATACAATGGTAAAATGTGAGAATGATATAGGAGAACAGGAAAAAGTGCACTGTAAAAAGAATGACATCATAAGATATTAAAAATACAGGAAATTAACGGTGCTAAACTTTGTGTAATGAAAAAACGTCAACGGAAATGAGAATGCACTTCGCATTTGAACAAGGATGTTAAAAGCAGCAAGATCAAATCTTCCGAAGTAGAAAATTGGTATGTTCAGGAAGACACAAATAAAGTAGTATCCCGCTAATCCCAACCCAGTAAACCCGGAATTTCGGATAATCCGAACAAGATTCGGGATGGAGGAAAAATTAACAAAATAAATAAAATCGTTATTTGTGGTGTAAAGAAAGGATTTTATAATTACTGTAGATCTGAACAATTAATTGTTTATGTAGCAGAAATTTTTACTCAAAGCAACTTGCAAAATCGGTAATCTTCATTTGCCGCAAGGAACTAAATCTACTTGATGATGGGTTTGCTAGGCTACGTTGCCATTTTCTCACATCGCACGCTACATTACATTGTGTCTGGTAATTCTATTGAGGTATTTGTGTATGTACAGTATATTTTTTCGGAAAATCCGAACATTTCGGAATCTGAACAGGCACCCCCCCCCTTAGTTTGTAATACCCGCGTTCTACTGTATTCAGTACATAAATCGCGCTAATCCAGTTAGTGTAATACAGGTTTTTCCTCTGTAGGTGGCGGTGATCTTCCCTCGCTGGAATTATTGCAGCAAATGTTGAAAGTTTAAAAAAATAAATATCAGCATTACGTAACACTAAAATATGACCCCCTACCCCCATGTAAAACAGCGTAACGCTGCCTCAAACCCCGTCACCCCTCTTCAGCATTACGTAATTTATGGACGACCCCCAACCAGCACTATCATCCAATACATAGTACAATATGTTGTACCTGCTGATGGCAGCACAATCGCGTTTCATGGAGAAAATTATGTAAATGTAAATATAGTAGATCTATGGATTCTAGCGGTTGATAGGCTATTATACAACAAATGATATAATGTCGTGGACTCGAAAACGTTGAAAAACGGATATATATATATATATATATATATATATATATATATATATATATATATAACATTCATATTACATCATATGTTTAGATTGCATATAAAAATAGTAGTTGCCCCTTTCCAATAAAAAGAGTCTTTTCTTATAAAATCTACTCGGATAATTTTTCTCACTTCAAAACGAGGATATGTCCGGGGAAAACAGGTATGGTAACCCTATTTGTGTGTGCCTTTTGCGAAATTCCCGTCACAGTTCTCTTCTCTGTGAGACAAGAAAGTGGATTTCTTATGTTCGTATTTAATCTTCTTCACACAAACGTCAAGAAAAAGTAATATTAAACGGTTAGAAGCCCCTCAGTCGACCGACATCAAATTCTTAGTTTGATGAGCAGAAAAAACGAACGTTCTGCCCTTTTATAGATTTCCTTCCTATATTCGTATCTTAACCTCAACCCTTACACACACACACACACACACATACACACACACACACACACACACACACACACACACACCTATAAATGCAGTACATTACCACGCATGTCAGGAGCTTAGAGCTTGTCCTGACTGGGTCGGTACCCCGCTGGTGGGAGATATTTGTTTGAGGAAAACCATGCAAGTCGACTTTTTGGTCGGCGCCGGATCTCGCTATCCAGTGGGGGAAGATCACCGTCACTGTCCGCGATAAAAACATGCTCTACACTTACGGAACTAATGACCTTAGCAGTTGACGCATCCGGAAACATCAGCTAACACAAAATAGAGAAAAAACAATGTAGCAAATGCGAAGAACAAAATTTGGGAAAAACTAGTTGGAAAAACTAGTGGTTCAGATGGCAAAATTAATTACTCAATGTCACTAAAGAAACTCATGCTAATTCTTTAATTTTGTTTAAACGAGTAGTTATTAATATTGCTGGTGAAGCAATGACGTATAGCAAACACAAGTAGCGTTAGTATCTTAAACAATAAAAAAAAATTCCTTAAAAATAGGCCCCCTTTTACCCGGGCCCGCCCGCATTTCGGGCCTAGAGAGCCGAAACGTTACGTCACTGGGCGGATGTTTGAAAGCAGGACTCGGGATGGAGGTAGGGTTTTTGTACGTTCTAGACTAATTTTTGCAGTAGTGATAAGAGTTGAGGGATTTGTTGATTGACACAAATTGCATTTTATTTACGCAGTTTGTGTACATGAATTTTTTCTAACATTAATCATTAATTTTCCATGCTTGTTCATGTTCTTTGATTCTTTGTTGAATTTCCGACCGGTTTCCCATAGGTATATGGTGTTGTAATTATAGCAGGACATAGACCGTTGACCCGACATACGTAAGTAGTAGGCACGAAGGATTTGATCATTTGTGTTTGCTAGTGTTTTCTGTCATGTGTGCGTTGTTCGAAAATTAGTTGTGAAACCCATTTTTTAGTGTGGTTGCTATTTTTAGAGATAGGGGTTCTATATAGGGATAGTACGTGGCCGTAGTGTTCTTTCCAATGGGTGGGAGAGTGGCGCATTGCGGAATTGTGTGTTGCATTTTGGATAATTAATTCGTCTGTGAGATTACTGACGTATCCGTTAATCCTATATTAAATTGTGTTTCTTTATTTTGTGTGTGTATGTATGTATGCTTTCTAGAGACATGAATACAGACAGTAAACGATGTACCATAGAAAGGAAGAATGTGTGTTGGAACATATTTTGAAGAGTTGTGTATGCGAGTTTTCTGAATATTTTGAATTCGTGATAGTCCTGCACTAGTGTGTTGGTAGGATTAAGAGTGTTTAAAGACCTGTGTTCGTTGTAAAGTGAATTTAAATTTCAATTTAAACGAGCACAAGTTATACAGTAAACGTGGAAAACTTGCGATAGAAAATGGTTTAAATCCATTTTCCATCGCTCCATCCTCAAGTTGTCATAAAAATACTAAGACGCATTAAATATTCTTGTAAAATAAATAGGAGTTCACAACCCGACAGGAACAAGCACATTGTCGCCTGCAAACCGAATAGGAGTCGAAAGAATCTGAAAAGAAAATAAAGCTTCGACTGAACGTCATTAATACTTGACACAGCGAATTATGGATTTGGCACATTTTAATTTCTCGCTAATAATATTACAGCGTAGGTATGCGACGTCAACAAAACATTGTTTTGAAAACATTTGTGTAATATGCGTTCAAAATACAGGTAAGTTTGGAAAAATAAACCCCTATGCGCGCAGATTGTATTTCTCCCCATACGTCACATAGTCTTTACTGTTTTTGACGGTTAATAATACATAAAGAAAAAAATTTAACTAATTAATTGATTAAAATAAATAAATAAAATTAATACATCGATGATTATCGCCTTAAAAATCACCGATGTTTTCAAAACGGGTTTAGTAACCTCTAACAATAATGTTAATGCGTTGGAGAATTTCATTTGACAGTGGTTGTGTTTATTATTTTATATTGATTTAAACGGCAAAGTGAAGTAGGACTACTGAACTCGGCCTGAAAATCCGACACTGAGCGCTAAAGGTTATCTCAAGGGATCAGCGCTTCCTCAGTTCGCCGTAGAAGGATAGGAGAGAGGCCCTGCGTCTACGCGTGCATTGACTGCCTCTCCGCGTGAGAAAAATCCAAGGTATCGGATTCATCACTCGGGCGAGAGTGCTCGATGAAGGTGGTACAGCGTTCGCTACATGAACAAAACAGGAACAGGCATGGGCAACTGAACTATAATCAGCTATTATTTTCAAATTTTTACAAAATTGTTTTTGTAGAACTTCGTCATTCAAAAAAAAACATTAAAACTTTAAAACATCCTGCAAAACACATATTTTTAATGTAAAACAATGTTTGACTGAAACTTCAAAAATATCGATGTTTCTATAAAACCTAAAACTACTTTCTGTTTTAAAAAAACTTTGATGCATCCCTAGTTTATTTGAGCTCTAACATCTAGAAAACAAAGTTTGATAAATATTCAATTTCACTTCCTCACACCTTCCGCCCATTGGTTCGTTAGTTTCGCGGCTTTTTATTGAGACCTCTAGCGGAGCAGTTGAAAACCCTACGCGAAAGCATCTTGAGCGCGCTCAGTTCATTTCTCGTAAGGTGAGCACATTGTACGATGTATCAGACAGTGCGTTGTTTTGTTCAAAGATACATAAATAATCTGAATATTTTCCACATGTACAACATTGTTTCATCTCTCGTTACTTTAATTTCGATATACGTCTCCAGACAGGTACTTGTAGCAACCAATATTTATTTATTCAGCAACTTTGTAGTATGTTGGTATTTATCTAGCAACCAATATTTATAACATGGTTGCTAGTATTTTGTCTGTAATATTATTTTCACATTAAATATTTCACTTTAAAGCATTTTATATAACTGAGTATGAAGTGTGAAAAGTATGGAGTGTACATGTGAATTTGCCATTCTCATTCTTTTTTGTGCGCTATGTATTGCAGCCATTGTTCCAGCAAGTATATGATGAAAACATGATTGAATACTCAGAGGAGAATGCAGAGAATTTTGTATCAGAGACTGTTGTTCCTGAACTCTTTGTAAATGATGACTCTGAGACCTCTCCCCAGACATCAGACTCTGAGAATGAGGTGGAAATGACAAGTAATGCTGTAAGATTTTTTTTCCAAATATAAAAACAGGTTTTTTTAAAGATAATTTTTACATGTAACATTAATAGAACTAATCGTGTGAAACAATATTTAATTTACAGACAAGCAAATTGGCTTCTCATCCTATTAAGCATGAGGAAAATAATGAGCAGGATGGAAATATTGACATTAATAATATCAGCATCTTGAGATCTGTGGAGGAACCTTCATTGACAAAATATTGGAACAAAAAATATGTAAAATCACTTTTGGCACTTGGTGGTAGTCTACTATTGTTATCATTTATTACTGTTATTATATTTGTTGTATTAATAACTTGAACTTGGTTGAAATGTTCAGTGCAGATATTATTTTATTTTTAAATTTTATTTTATTTATGTCTATTAACTTGTAAGATATTGTTGAGACTAATGAAAATTTTACACCAACATCGTTTTATTAAATACATTCTTCTTAACATTTTTACAACTAATATCACACAATGTTTTGAAACATCATATGTACTAGATTAACTGTAAAATCTAGGAAGAATATGCATACAGAAGTCATATGACTGTCCAGGGCTTGAAAGTATTTAAATACTTGAAAGTGAAATGCATACATTTTTAACATATTTTTTTATTTCAAAATTTTTGTTTCTGAGGTTTTTGGACTTGTATTTTGGAGGTATATTTTAATACGTAAAATATGAGTATACAAAAAAGAAATACTTCAATAAAAATAAATTCCATGGCTCTTATTTTGCCTCGATTCCAAAGTTAATGGAATAAATAACCTGAGATGTGTCTGAAATGTTTTGTTTACTATTGTTGATTTTTTTACTTTAAAAATACTTAAAAATTATAGTTATTGTTCAGAAATTTGTAGGACTGTCAATTATTAATTTATTGTAATTGACAGTTACAATATATTATTGTAATAAAAAAGATAAAACAATTGTATTTTGTGTATTTCATATACTGTAAAAACATATGTATTAGCTATCAAAACATAAATGTGTTTTGAGTATGTATTTAAATACCTAATTTACATAGTAATGTGAAGTATTTAAATACTACATTTAAAGTATTTTGCCCAATCCTGCAACTGTCCTTTATCTAGAGTTGATTAGATACTATCAGAGAGTTATATATGGTTTGAAGAAAATAAGAATTAAAACTTTAACAGTTGTAACAGTCTTGGAAAACAAACTTAGTATATTCCTATTTTTATTTATCTTTTACTTCATATTCTAGGATGATTCAATTATTTACATTTTACCATGGTAACATGAAATTCCTTGAAAGTAATTTTAAAATATTGTATTAAGTTTTATGGAACAATTGTTTTTGATTTTTTAGTATAATATAAGTTAAAATATGATCAGCTGTTTCAGAAATGAAAATAGATTGAATGTTTTATGACCATTTTATATTCATATTGCCCATGTGCTGTTTGTACAAAATAATAAATCTTTAAGGTAACTATCTCAATGACACTTTTCTCTGTGGTCCTTGTTTTCAATAAGTTAAGAATTTCTTAATCTTCACTCTCGTGAACATGTTTCTTACACAATTACTTTCTTGAGCTTCATAAAGTAAATGAATATTAGAAGTGAAAACTTGCTCATTAATCTTCTTTCTAATATGGATTCACGTGTCTAAATTTAATTCAATTTACAAGATTTTAATTTGAAGTAATAAATTTTATTCAGGAACCATATGCAGCATTCACTGAAGATTGTTGAGATTGTGGGAGAGGGAGTGTCGTTTCAGCAATTTATGTACATACATCAATATGAATACATGCAATTATGTGTAAAAATAATATCACAAGAATCATTGATATAATTTTTTTAATTATCAAATTTGAATGTAATAAATATAAATTAAATTATAAAATTCATGGCATAAAAGTAAACAAGTCTTTTGGTTTGATAAAGTCAATCAGCCGAAATTTTGTTTGTTTTGTTTTTAATTTCTAATATTTTTCAGTTAACATGAGTCTTTAAAATCCCTTGGTAAAAATAGCTTGTTAATATATCAATAAAATAGAACTTACACAGAAGGCCCAATTTTACAAAATTTCAGGCAATTACATCACTTCTGATTTGGCTGAATTACAATACAATGTATCACTTTTGTCAGGTAACATCTACTCAGTGAAGAATAGACCTCTAATGTTGAAATTAGTATTTATAAATGTTAGTTTAATAACAATATTTGGGTGTCTAATATTCTTCATTATATTACAGTTTGCAAATCAGAACATGTACGGGATAGGTATGAAATTTTAGTGGTATCCACCTTCTTAATAATGTTGGACAAATTGTAAACTACCTTTCTTCATTCTTAGCTTTTGTTTTGTTTATGTTCTTGCTAGTTACCTTGTTCTCTCTTTTTTTTATTAATTTAAAGCTTTTCAACTTCCATAAGGAAGTTATTTGCTTTTCTCAATTTGTATATTAGAAATTTTGTATACATACACGGATTTTGTATTTTACAATACATGAATTATTTTTCATTAAATCAGTAGGTATTAATTTCACAGCGTTACTTCAATTTCTTGCTTTAAACGTATACTTTTATTTTGCATGATAATAGAAATTCATATACATTTTTCATACCTGTACTATTGGGTTGGCTGAGGAACATTTTGACATTAATGGTAAAAATATCTTAATCTTCTTCAGTCTTTTAATTAAATATTCCCTTTCTTCTGTGTACACTGTACATTGCCGTATCACATGGTTTAGATCCTGAGTATAGTATCCACACAGGCATGTTGATCACAAGTCAATTTAACCCTAAAAATGAAGACTTTAAACTATAATGACCATCTCTACCTCAGTTCACCATTGAAGCAAAATCTCTCTCAATAGATTTCTCATGAAACAAAGGTTTTTCTTCTTCTTTGTAAAACAATGTAAAATATTCCTTGCCTTTGGTGTTAGCTGCTTGCTTAATACTTATGATCGTTTCCTTTCTAGCACTGCTCTCAAAGATATTATATAAGTTTGAATGAGGTATTTTCAGTTTTGAAGGTATATTAGATGTAGCATTATTTGCCAACATGTCAGCCATTTCATTTTCAATAATACCTTTGTGTGCAAGTATCCATATAATATTAACCTTTTAGTTATTATGTGCCTGAAATTCCTTTAACTTCTTTTTTATATTTAGTAAATAATAGTTAGACCTTTTATTGATAGTCTTTTTTTCTTAAGTTAAAAGCACACTAAGGGAGTCAGTACAAATATGAACATTTCTGTCTCTGTGTTACGAAGCTATGTCCATTGCATCTCTAATGGCTGTACAATCTGCTGCAAAAATTGATGCATATGGATGCACACTTTTAATGACCTGTATACTACTATCTGGACAGACACATGCAGTTCCAACTGTTTTGACATCCTTAACTTCGCTTCCATCAGTGAAAATGGACATACCTTGTGAATTGAGTTTTGAATTTTGAAATAATTCATTAGAATTCTTTGCTTGTCTCCATATTCTTTGTCTTTGTCTACCTTGTACAATATTGTCTCTTAATTAAACTTATACATTGGAAAATTTTTAACAGCAAAAAATATTTTATCTAAACATATTACATTTTTAATACATTGTTTTAAAAGATGAACTTTTCTCCTTTTATCAGTTATAATATTCTTATAATAATTTTTAATCCTTTCATATGTTACAGAATTTTTGTGCATGATACTCTTAATTAAGAATTTATTACATAAATATGTTACACGATCCTCAGTTCTCATTAATTTAGATTCTGCCAACAGTACATTAGTGGGAGTACTATTCCTGTTTCGTAATGCTAATCTGATTGTTGTGTACTGCAACCTTTCTAATTTGCACTTAAATTTTTTTTGTTTGGGATAACAAACAAAACAGACATAATGTGTTATAGATCTGACAAATCTTCTATAAAAAATTTAGTAAAGTAACAGGCTCTGCTCCCCACCATGTACCTCTGAGAAATTTAATAATATTTATTGCTCCACATGTGTAGAATAAATGTTTTTCTTTTGTCAAATATTAGACCCAGGAATCGTATAGATTCAGCAGATTTTATTCTGGTGTCTCCAATACAGATATCTATTTCCTCTGGTAGTATGTTTCTTCGATTAAAATGAATAAGAACAGTGTTTTGAGGTGCAAGCTCAAGCTCTAATTTTTATATTGTTCCCATGATGATGAATACTAATAATTTTATGATGTTCACAAACACTCAAGATATCTGGCCTAAACTGAAACTTACTGCCCAGAGCAAGATGTTATACGTTTTTATCATCATACAAAGTATTCACAGAAACAAGCTATTTATGGAAAATTATTTGAACTTTCAAAATTATATTTATTTAATTCTTGCTTCAGTGAAAATAGATGTTTTTGCTTGTATATAAAATCATCATCTCTTAATGGATGTCAGGGTAGCTAGGACTGGATACTTGCCACCTTTCTCCCTTGAAATTTGGGGAAGGCCATAGAGAAAAGATAGTCTTTCCACTATGGTAAGACATACAAATAATGAAATTACTAATAAACAAATATTTCTCTGAAAGAAAATTGTGACAAAAAATAGATTTTACATGGGATATGTATTTGTTAAAAATAGTGAAAATATTGTTAAAAACTACTCCTATTCCAAAATTTGGCAACCCTCATATACATGTTCAGGACCAGACTTAACAACACAAGGGCCCTAGGCAAACAATACATGTTTTTGGTAATTGATCAAAAACGCATAAATATTGAATATTTAACATAATATAATAGTATAGTACTATGTAACTACTTTATTGGAATTGGAATTGTATAGTATTATGCTTTATTAGAATTGTACGTCTACGCCAGCAAAACATATTGCTGAACCTTGGAAAAGAGAAGGTAAATAAATCTTGTTCCTATTTATAGAAAAATAGTTTCCTCTAGCGCGTTGTGCGGTCTGAACTCATGTTTTGTGAGTCCTTGATACCGGAAAATTGTCACCTAAAGCTAGTCCGTCTGCCTGTTGGTGGTCAACGCTCGCGCCAAAACAGTTCAGCCGATTTTCTCCGGAATTGATATTCCTCGATCGATTTAAAGGAACTAGAGGTCCTACAAGTTTGAAACGGATATGTAATTTTTGGGGGTACTTTACATAAGTCTTTTCAACAGTTTTTCAAAAATGGCTCAAAATTTTTAGATTAAACTTATTTCTCGGGTAGTGTACAAGACACTTAAAAAAATGACGCAGGTAGCATTTTCGTCAAAAACTCTTCTTTTTTCGAAAATTACAAAAGATCCAAAAAATGGCTTCTTCCTACCACTAAAATATTAAAAGATAGAATTTTTCCCTTAATAAAATCTGTAAACACACGCGTAACTTTGTGTGAAATGTTGGCAAATTAAAAAAAATTAAAAAAAGGCACCACGTTAAAAAAAAATCTTCTCGTGTGTACCAATGAACGATGAAGGCATTGCTGCTAGACCTATTTTCAGGTCATTCTCAAGGTTTCCTTCTGTACTTTAAAAAATTCAAATCATTGTTAAGAAATGTCATACGGCCGGCTTAAGTCATGAAACATGACCAGGATATTTTGAATTCAATAAAACAAAAGCAATGTGGAATATAGTAAAATATTCGAACAAATCAACTAGAAAACTTTTAGAGAATGTTGTTATAAAAGATAACGATAGAAATGTGAACGATCCGGCAACAGTGGCTAGCCTCTTTAACCAAAACTTTTCGAGAATTGCTGCGGATATCAGTAAGGGTCTTTAGCCACAAAATTCAACATCGGACAGGTTGTTGAAAATTTTAGGCACGATGTTTGTTTCCGAAACTTCTTCCCATGAAATTCTGAAAATAATCGGTAGACTAAAAAATAAATATTCGGCCGGTTTAGATGAATTTCCGGATTGTTTGTTAAAGGCTTGCGCGCCCGCCATTATACACCCGTTGACTCAGATATTTAATGTATTCTTAGGTGCAGGAA